TGACAATTTGAAGGAATATCGGGCAGATATTTTGCAGAATGTCTTCCAGTTGCGATTTGTCTAATGTTTTGCCTCATGTTTAGACTGTGATTATGGGTTCTGAGAGGGAGACCAGAGAAATAAACCATCAAATCATGTGGGTTTCAATTATATATGGTCATTTTATTAAAATAAGAATGCCATTCTACCCACTCTAGGATTGAGATTACCTTTAAAGATCAAAAAAGCAGAACATGGAATGAGAGAAGAGCCGTAACAGCTATTCTCTTTTCTCCTTTTACTGTTCTCTTTTTAAACATTAAATCTGCAAAATCATCCCTTCTTCTGACAGGGGTCAGGATATTTGTACTTGTCTCAGGTGTTGCCTGGGACTGAGCACGCTGCTGCCTTCAGAATAAAATCAGGCATCACGGAAGAAGGTGGGACAGTAGATGACAGGCAAGCAACTGACAGTGCGGGCCCAGGGTGTGTATCAGACAGTGCTTCATTAGATGCCACAAGGAATCAAGAGATGGGCTCTCTCTCTCAGACTTTACAGAAATTACCTGTTGCAACAAACATTGTCTTTTAAGGACTGCACTGTAGAAAGCTACACTGTTTCTCACTGACCCTTTGATTACTCAAGCAAATCTATCTTCAGAAGATGCTCACTTATCACATGTCTCACATGTTATTGACTGTAAAGACTAGTCCTAAAGTGTCATTCCTAGAGCAATGGGACAATGCTCTGCTTGGAAAATAAGCACCGAGTCAGTTTTCCTAATGTGGCAACTTGGTGTAATATTTCTTTAGACATCTAGGTTATTTTTTTTGTCTTTTTCATTTTTATTGGTACTGGGGATCGAACTCACGACCGCCTGCTTGCAAGGCAGGTGCTTACGCCACTGAGCTAAATCCCCAGCCCCTCATCTAGGTTATTTTTGTCCAAAACAGTGGTATTAAAATCACATCTAAAAATACTCTCCCCTTAACAAATTTGTGAAAACTAACATGATAAAACTAACAGGTGGATCAAGAGAAAACACAACACAATACACTGTATTCCAGGGTTTTGGAGCTGATGAAGATTAGCAAAGATAGGCAGACAGAAAAGCTTCAGAAAGGTGGGGTCCTAGGCGGCTCTCCTGTTTTTGGTCTCCATTTCTTTCATGAGACATAATAGAGTTGTTGGTCTCATTTTATTAAACACCCAGTTATTTTTTGCTAATTTTCAGTGAATCTGATAGGGCTATGTGATTACGCTTTTAATTAAGTGACTTTTTTGCATAGTATTTTATAGAGCAGTTTTTGCAGCTTCAGAGATTAAAATCTGAGTTCAAATTCTGGTACTGAGTGGTTTTCCAATCTAGTAAAAGTTCTTTATCTTCTCTCTTCCTAGTCTTTATTTAATAATAACCCTAAACAAGTAGGGCTGTTGTGAGGCTCTAATAAGATGAAGCAAAGGGAGCACAGAGGAGTGCTTCACTTTAGGAAACTGCTCAATCATGGCATCTGCTGTGATAATTGCCACACTGATGATGGACGTGATGGTGATGTTCATATAAACTCAGGGAAAGGGAAGGCTATGAAGCAGCTCCCACTTAGGCTTCACCACGTTGTCACTGTTAACTTTACAAGAATGTCCACTCACCAAAAGAAACTACATTTTCCTTGACTTTTTAATAATCATTGCCTTAGAAAGAGCAAAGATGGATTCAGGTACTTAGGAAGGTTCTATTCTATTATTTTTGAAGGTGGCAACTGTGTAACTCAGATTGCTGAGCGGAGATAAGGCAACATCCAATATGAGAAACTGGCACAAGCACAAGAGATCTTGGAGCATCTGCAATTAGTTGACACTGTTTATTGAGTCTTGGAAACCAATCTAAAAGAATTTATGCTTTAAATCAGTGGTAGTTATCAATAAGCTTGTGAGAGAATTCTTTCTAGGACCCTCTGGCTTTCATGGCAACTTGTATTTATAACAAAAGAGAAGTCTCTCAAACAGAAGGCCAAGCTGATCCAATCACTTAATGCAGAATTATGATATCAACTTTGTACGCAACTCAATGACCATGGTTTTAGAGGTATGTGCCATAACCTAGCTACAGATGTTAGACATTTAACAAGTTTGTTTAATCCCTAATTGCTGGCATTTTCTTAAGTGTTTTCTGAATTCTCATTTATGCTTTTATGCTCGTTTGTTTACATAGCCCATAGTTCCCAATTGCCTTTATTTGCTTAAGTGTTTAATTTTATATATATATATATATATATATATATATATATATATATTGCTTTGCTAACTCATTGTTTGCAGTAGGCTACAAATAACCATAAATCCTCATTGCTAATTAGCCTCATCCTCATGACTGATTAGTCAAGAGTATGAACCTAGAAGGTGGGCAGCAAGGAAGCCTACTTGTGAGTCACAGGATCATTGAATTTTAGAGCTCGAAGGAATCTTAAGACTTGAAGGCACCTTTCAGATAGAACTCTGGTTTTACATCTTCAGCATTGGAGAATTATGAAAGCATGTCTGCTTGTTTTTGATCCTTTATGCAAAAATGGATAAGGACTTGGTGACAAGCTTTGAAAAACAAGTTAAGAATAAATAAGAAAGCCCAATCAATGATGACTATATGTAACTCATCATGAAGGCTTGAAGAATCAAAAATGTGACACACTGGCTGTAGAAGAGTTGGGAATATTAATGAACATGAAGGAGGGGCTTCTTTGGAGGGAAGTAAGCAGAGTGGATTGTTTGGAACTCCCTCCTCAGCAGCTGTGCAGTTGGTAAGGATTTTAGCTTGCTTAACTGTAAGCTTGGCTATTAGCTTTGCAGTGGGGAGCATTTAAAAGTACGCACAACATACGAAGGAAAGAACCTGGAACAGAGTAGCCTGCTTCATTCCAAGAATCCATCTGGCATTTAAAGAACTGCTTGTCCTACATTAAACCCTGCAGAGTAAGAGCTATTTTTCATACCCGAACACCCTTATTTTTGGTTTCAGGTGAGACAGCCTGTGGAGTTTATGGAAGGAAAAAGGAGGATTCTAGGAAACAACTAACTAAAGGACTAATCTAGGACTAGTGACTAATCTAGGACTAGTGAGCCTGAAGCGTGAAAATCATGTTGAAGCCTCCAGTTGGAAAATCAGCTTAAGAGCAAACTCACGTCTTCACAGGAGGTGGACGTCTGGATTCCAAAACAATTTGAGCCTTTAATCATTTGGAAATAGTATAATGGACGAAAGGATGTTGCAAATGTGCAAAGCTGTGGTCAGTCATTCATATTAAATGACTCATAGTGATAGTGTAAGTTGAAAAATGAAATCCAATCTATTCCCAAACATATCTTTGAACTAAAGAATTTGTTTATGCAACTTCTGTATATTTTGAAGGCACCTAAATACAAAGGCTGCCAAGAGTAGTTCCTGGATTACTAGGAGTTGCAGAGTGTATAAAGAAGTGGTTAGCCTAGAATTAAGTCCTGGGTTTTAGGTACCATAATTTCTTCCTTCTCAGACGAGTTTCCTAGGACACATTTTCTTATATTCCCATTTCAGGAAAAGTTTACAGCACTCAGATGAGCCCAGATCAGTCTGCAAGCAAGACAGCAGGGTTCCACTTTCAACTGGTCACCCTTTGAGGGACAGCGCGAGGCTCCAGCGCCCGCGCCAACTCCAAGCAGCGCCCTTTCCGTTACCATGGTGACTGTGAGAAGGGCAGGACCGCCATCCACTTGGTCCTCGCTTCTACCCAGGGCCTTTTGAACGCTCCAATTGGGACAGGCCTTTCTTGACTCTGTCCCGCCCCATTCCGCTCCGAGAGCTATGCGATTGGCCCAGGACGCACGGTTTGGTGCCCAGAGAGTACCACCTCTTGACGCGAAGAGCGGGAAAGTGTACCAGGCGCAGTCCGAGGCGTGAGGCTCACAGACGCTGAGGGGGAGCACACGGTTGGCTTTGGAAGGAGTTGCTCCCTATTCCATACGTGACTCCTGCACCCATGAACGTTAACAGTTGGGAGCAAGAACCGGGGTGTGACGCAACGACTAACTGGGGCAGCCCATCACCAGAGATCGGGATGCGACCCAGAATGAGATCCTGGGGCGCTCTCTCCAGCTTCAGACGCTGAGGCCAGAGAGGGCCGACCGAACTTTAGGGGCAGTGCTAGCAGCCGCGGCGGGAGGCGCAGGGCCCAATCAACCAGCGCACCGCCCTCGTGGGCGGGGCCAGCGGGGCGTCCCCCCGCCCCCTTCTGGCTCGCCCTCGCCCCTCCCTTCGGGCGCCGGGGCCGCAGTGAGTGAGTGGCACTGGCAGCCTGTCAATCCCTCAGCCGAGCGGCCTTCGAGCCCGGTCCGCGGCGGCTGCTGACTGGGTGCGCGGCTCCGGCAGTGGCGGCGGCGACTTCTCCCGCCCCGTCCATCTGCTGTCGCCGGGCGCGCGGCCCGCCGGGGCCCTCCTTCGGGCTTCGCGCCTCTGCCGCGCCGGCCTGCCCGCTCCAAAACTTTCCTCTTTCGTCCCCTTCGTCCCCCGCGGCCCGCCCGCTGGCCTCCTACTCTTTCGCCACCGCCCGCCGCCGCCGCTCCTCTCCCGAGGGCCGCCGGGGTCGGATCCTGCCCGGCGGCGGCGGCGGCGGCGGCGGCGGCGGCCGAGAGAGGGGAGAGCGCGGGCCGGCGCGGGGGGCGGCGGTGTCCCGGCAACTCGGCCGGCGCTGAGGAGCAACTTGCGCGGGGCCGCTCGGCGGGGCGCGCGGCGGCGAGGAGGCTGCGCGGCGGCCGCGTGAGGGCAGCGGGCGCCGCCACCGCCTCCGCCGCGGAGCCCGGCGCTTCCGCCCGCCGCTTCTCCTCAGCCTCGGCGGCGGCGGAAGCCGGAGCCGGCGCCGGTCCGCACAGCCTGAGCTGCGGGCCCCGCCGGCCGAGCAGCCCCCTCCCCGCGCGGGCGGGGAGCGCGCGGCCGCCTCCCCCTCCCCCTCCCCCTCTTTCTTCTCCTCCCTCGTCTCCGCCGCCGCCGCCGCCGCCGCCGCCGCCGCCGCCACCGCCGCCTCAGCCTTCGCCGCCTCAGCCGCCGCCGCCGCCGCCGCCCGCTCCCGCCCGCGCGCGGCGGGATGGACGATCAATCCAGGATGCTGCAGACTCTGGCCGGGGTGAACCTGGCCGGCCACTCGGTGCAGGGGGGCATGGCCCTGCCGCCTCCCCCGCACGGCCACGAAGGGGCGGACGGCGACGGCAGGAAGCAGGACATCGGCGACATCCTCCACCAGATCATGACCATCACCGACCAGAGCTTGGACGAGGCGCAAGCAAAGTTGGTGTCGTCTCATTAAGCATCTTTTGTGTGTGTGCGGGAGCCGGGTCCGCGGCCGAGTCGCGGTCCGGGTGGCGCCCGAGGCAGGGGCTTCAGTTCGGGTGGGAACTTTCTCCAGCGCCAGCCGCCGGCCGGGCCTGGGGACCCTCGCGGCGCCCCGGGACGCGGGCGGCGCTCGGCAAAGTTGCTCCCGAGCCGGGACCGACTCGGCGGCGCGCAGGCTCGCGGTCCTGCGTCTCCCGTGTCCCCGCGTCCGCCCCTCCCGCGGATTTAAACCTCCCGCCGGACCCCGCGCGCGCCGTCGCCCCGCCAGGCCTGGCCGCGCCGGAGAGACGCGCAACTTTCCGTGGGCCGCGATCGCCGCTCCCGCTCCCGTGACCGCGGGACGACCCTGCGGCGCGTGCGGGTGGCAGCCGCGTTCGGGCCCAGCACCGGCCGAGGGGCGGTTCGGGACGGGCCGGGCGCGAGCGGCCAAGTTCTCGGGGAAGGAGGTCGCCTGGCAAAGTTTGCCGAGCTGTCACCCGCCCGCCGCCCGCCGCTGGCCGCTCGCCTGCACCCGCTCTCCAGCCGCGGGGGACGTGGTGGCCCCACCGCGCCCGTCCGAGCCCGGGGATAGTTGCCGCGGGTCCCCTGGAGCGAGGGCCCCGCGTGGGTTCGCGCCTGTGGTCGCCGAGGTCGCTGCCTGCCGGACTGATGGGTCGCGCCGCGTCCAGGGCTGGCGCTTTCGCCGCCGGAGCTTACCGGCTGTCGAGAACTAGTCAACTTGAGTTTTTGTTGACTTCTCATGGCTCAAAGGAGCTTTCCAAAATAGGAGGCCGGGATTAAATCTTGTGTCTTAACTTAAAGGAAGGCGCCATATTATTCCATAGGTGATGCTAATACCTTTTTGTTTTGCTGTTTGTTTTTTAGGAAACATGCCCTGAACTGTCACAGAATGAAACCCGCGCTCTTCAGCGTCCTGTGTGAAATCAAAGAGAAAACAGGTAAGATGCTGCGCCCCACTGTGGGCCTATAGACCCCTGAGGTGGGCTTGGAGCTACTCCTTTGACTCTCCAGTTGAGAGCTGCTGCTTTTGGGTACCGCCATCTTTGATCATTCTCTCCTTCCCACCTCCTGATCCTGAGAAAAAAAAAACTGTAATAAATCTCAGGTCGATTTCTCAGTTTTGCTCCTGGTGCAAAATGAAATGTAGGTGTGGACCAGGCCTGGTCGCCACCCCTACAAGGTCGTCCCTGGCTGCAAGGGTGGAGGGGGGCTCCGTAGCAGCCCTGTCCCCTCTCCTTGTGGGAATTTTTAAAAGGAGCAACTGGGAGACTGGATGCCTGGGACAAGTGTCCTAGAGAAGCATTGCCTGAACTTTGTTTTACTTAGCCTTAAGCTGCTTCTCTACTGACGGAAGAGTAGGTGCAATTGAACAGACTTCAGTAGCATGTGTTCTAGGAAGACTACTTTTGGCAATCCAGGAAGGGTAATGATGTGTTGAGGCATGTATAATGTATTACATCTATTAATACTTGCATTAAGTTTTATATCTTGAAGTCATTGCACTTGTAATTATGCTTAGTATATGAAGTAGAAAAGAGTCCACAGATACAGGTTAAACAATTTTGAAGTTCAGGGCAGGGAATATATGACAAGGCACGTTTTGGAATGAAAACTACCAGTACACATTAGGCAAATTTTTGGCAATTCATTTCAATTTAACTTTTTCACCAGACTTTTTCAATTGAAGATACTTTAATCTTGAGGTGATGGTAAGGCTCAAGTGGAAGAAGAGATTTCATTGAAATGTTTTAGTTTGTATTTGACAATATCTTCCCTGTAAATGAAAACAAGCGCATTAAAAAAAGATTTACTGTTGGTGTTTTTCTTTCTTGTGTTGGGTATGTGGTAATTTAAGTTGCCTTTTGTTTTAAGTTCAGGCAAAGAAGAAAAAGTTAAATTCCACAATATAATAATATCTAGTTGTTGCTATTTAAATGTGATTATGTATAAATTAAGTATACAAATAATGGCACACAGTGTAGGATGGTTAGATTAATAATCAAGTTGTTTACCTTTTAAGTAGATTTTTTACTGTGTAATTCTAGTTCTTTCCTAAAAGTAATCCAGAAAAGATGATGAATTATTGCTATTGAATATATATGCTAAAACATAAACGGTAAATATGAAGAGAAGGCTGAAGAGCACTTTTTTTGCTTTCATTCACATAGTGTGGATGATGTCTTAATATTAAGTGATTCTTTTTAAGACATGTTTTACATTTGGGAAAGTATTGTCATTAAAAATTACTAACTTATTCTTTGTTGATTGTTAGCCAGTTTTAGAATGTATTGCAATTTAAAGTGGTAGATGATTTTTATCAGACAGTAAAATAAGATATCCAGCATAACATCTTGAAGATTCTTAGTTGAGAAGCCTAAAAGTGGTTAACTTTCACTTAATTATGTTGCTTAATGTCCAAGGGTTTTCTTGCTATCAGGGCTCCATTTCAGTTTCTGCTGACAGCTAAGCACTGGGGTATTGACTATGTTGTGAATATTAACATTGATTCAACTTTATGTAGCACTGTATTACTAGGGAGAGGGGAATGATACCTCTCCCTTGCCCCTCGTTATGATTTGCGTGTCTTTCCCCCCTTTTTAAAGTTTGGCCTAGTAAGCATGTGAACCAAACTGACTTTTCATGTTTAGAAATTTAGCAGCAGCCAGAATTCAACTAAGAAGTGTAAGTCCTCTAATAGTTTATTTGCACAGGATTTACACCATTCTGAAAGGAAAGCAATAGTCAACCACATGTCAAAGGTGAGTTACAAAAAAGAAACAAAGTCTTTTCAGGGTCTGGGATTACTAGTAGAGAGATCTGTGATATAGGTGTAGCTATTTAAGAAGCAAGAGGTAAAAAAGAAATTTTTCTGTTCTGAAAATGGTTGCTGGGGCTTTCAGTGAGAACTTGTAAATTAGATCCTCTTTTTGTGCTTTGGCTAGCCGATTCAAGTTTGTTCCTAAAAAGCCAACAGCCTACAAAAGTAAAGCCTGCTGGCATATTCCTGCCAGCCTCTCTAAGCTAGAGAGGGACAGGATTTAAGTACTGAGTGATTGATGGGGGTGAAGCTCTTTTTCTCCTTTTTCCTGTGACTATCCTATCCATAGCTCCACCTTATCCTCCAAGACTAGTCTTAAAAGGAGATAGGCTGGCCAGACTCAGAGCCCTCAATTTGAAATAAACCAGCTGGGTAGATGTTAGTGCCACCAAAGCAGAGAAATCCAGCAGCACATTCCAGAGCTCACCCCTCATCTGCTTCCTTAGTCATGCTTCAGAAACACCACAATTGTGGAGAAAATAAGCTTTGCAGCATATATGTATCTGATGTGATACTTTTTCTTTAAATAATTTTGTGTAATCTGATCAGTATAATAGCCAAAGAGTAATTCTTTATAATTTGGGGGAAAGGTTAGTCATTTGTGAATAGAAATCAGGAACATTATGCAATGACTCTATCCTGCATAATGGGGAGGTAGAGAGCTGATGAATCTGGGGCTGGGGAAGACTCACTTCAGTGGATAATGTCATTTCATTTGCGTTTTTCTTCCAAAATAAGACAAAATCATTTTCCAAGTATTTGTAGATCTGTTAGTAGATTTTGAGGTTTCTGATCGAGCAATGAATATTGCCATTTCTGATGCACATGAAGAATTTAGTTTGGAAAACATCTTTTTTCCTCCCTACTAAATAAGAAAATATGTTTTTTCCTTCTGACAAATAAGTGGGTAATCTACCACAAATGTATTTTCTTGTTCAGAGGTAAGGAAAATATACTTTTATTATAAGAAACTTGCTTTCTTTTGAAAATGTATTCTTCTGTAAAATTTAGCCTACAGCTGTTTTTGGGCAGAAACTTATTGTAGAATTGCGACACGTATGCTTTTTTGAAAGCAACTGAAAAGTTATAGGCATTAAAATTAGGGTTATGTGTTCATTTTAGACTAAGTAAGCCACCAGTGATGCTGTTGTTAAGGTTTTTCCCATTTTTCTTTTAAAGCTATATTTTATCCTTTTTTTAAATTATACGTCCTTGATGCCGTGAAGTCTAGTATTTTGATTATCAAAGTACTTTTCTTTGTGAAATACTCCATCACAAATCTGCCTTCTTTTCAAAGCCCTTAATTACAAGAATTTGAATGAAAAAAATTTTTAAGGAATAAATGATTTATTTTTAAACAGGGAATTTAATATTTTAATATATCATCTGAATCATAGTTTTGTTTCTAAAAAGATATATTTAAAAAAATGAATTCAACCTTTTCCTTTTTAAATGATAGGTTAAAATACTCCATGTTGATAGCTGCCAACCAAACTCTGATTTATTGCACCACAAACCCTAAATAGCGTTCATTTACTAGTAATGTCTAATGGCAGACATGATGGTTTGCCAGATTTGTAGCCTTTGTGAGGCTTATAAGCAGGACTGACTTGGGAAGATCATAAAACTTAATGAACTTCTCTACTGCAGGAGGTGTCCGCAGGGGAAGAGAAGGCCTGCGTGCCTGGCTGGTTGGGCTGGTTGAAGTATTTTTTATGTTTAAGGAGAAGAAGAAAATTACTATTAAAATGGATTAACTTTTAGAGAAATCCTTGTTAGAAAGAGTCATAAGAATTTTAGATAACAAAGCTAAGTCAAGAATGTAGCTTACAAGTGAGTTTTTATATGTATTTGGTATACGGTGTGAGATTAAACCTTTGTTGGTATGTGACTAGCTTTCAGAGGGACAGGCTAGTATTCTCAGTCAACACCTCTATATATTTAATTTTGACCTACAGGTTTAGAGAATCACTGGAGTGTTCTTTTTTTGGTCTGTTTTTTATTTAAGCCTTCTGTGTAAAAATTGGTTAAATTTTTCTTAGTGTTGTAATTCTTTTACAACACTATTCTTAGCACAATTCTTAGCTATGTAATTCTTTTAACTCTCAATGTATAAAAACCAAATCTATCAAGTAAAAAATTAGCATGAAAAATGAAAATTATATATGCATCTAAGCATTATTGTAGTTATTGCATTTGTTAGATTGATCTTGCACTATGTCCAATATAATTATTCTTTGTTCTAAGATTTTGAAAATGTTACATTCTATAAATGATACATTTTCCCATTTTAATGAGCCTACTTTCTAGTTTTAAAGAACTTTTTTATGGGCAACTTCTGAAATAAAACAGAAAAGAATTTTTGAACCTTTCCACAGGAACTTACTGATAACCTTCAACAATAGCAACAATTGGTTAATCTTTCCTCTGTTCCTCTTATCCTCAGAATTACTTAGAAGCAAATTTTAAGGATCTTTAATGTTTCAAAATTTATATCAATTTTAGAGGACACTGTGATCTGTTTACTTTGGGAATAGTTAAAAAATATAGTCAGTGTATCTTGAAAGTGTCGTAAATTATATTGCTTTATCAATATATTTTCCTTAAAGCAATTTAAGAATGTCAATTTTTTTTATGGATTTATATAGCTTACTGGAGCTTTTGTAGATTTTGAGGCAGGATATGTTTTTCATTCTTTTCTCCTCCACTGCTATCCTTGAAAAATAATACACACATTTGTTCATAGAAGCCCTGGATAAATGTCATTGCCAGACTGGTTTAAACCTTCATGATAAAAGTATCACAGAGATGTTATCTTTAAAATGTAGGGCTGTTTTTTCAACCTGCTCCTTTTTTATTTCTTCCCAATAGAAAAATACTGAACCTTCTTGTCAATACTAACTTGATCTGTATAAATAATTCTTTTTTGCTTCAATTTTTTAGTGAGCCTCATTTCATCCAAATTTGTATAATTTTGGTACTTTGGGATTTTACTATGATATTTTACTAATGTATACAGCTTTATTCTGAATGAGAAGTGTATTAAGGCACTGGCAAAGGAATCCCATCTTGCTCCAAAGAACACAGGTTCAGAGTCTTTATAAAATATACCTGTGTACA